TTTAATTCAGGGAATTCTTCACTTTTCTTTTGTAACCCAAAATGTATGGATGTCATTTGAATGTATTTTTCAGAAAAAGTGACAAACCATACTTATTCTATTTGATTCACCATAGCTTATTTTGTAACTTGTTGAAGTTTTTTTTTCCTGTCTGTTTCATATTCCATGGGTTCTCTTCAGACTGAAAACTTAATTTTGAGGTATTTTCTGGGAATTTTTTTCATCAAAAATTTTCTTCCTTCAATTTTTCTCTGAATTGTCCTTGAAAACTGCAGTTTCCCTCCATGGAGACAGTTTTTAAGTTATAAATAATTCTCTAGAATTTGATGTTGCTTGCACTATCTTTTTCAGTGATGTTTTCTAGAATAGTAAGAATCTGAAATTAGGAAGAAAAGAATGGTTTTCCATCCAGTAGAAAACCATATTTAAGGTTCCATTATATTTGGACATTTGGAGAATCAGAAAATTTACTACAGAGGACCTGAAATTATTATTCATAGGTTTCCTCTTTTGGAATATCTACTTAACCTATCCATATTCCTAACACTATTTACTCAAAAGGAAGGAAGAAGAGAGGGAGAGAAAGAGAGAGGGAAAGAAGGGAGAGCGGAAGGAAGGAAGGAAGGAAAGTAGGAGGGAGGGAGAGAGGAAGGACGGAAGGAAGGAAGAAGGAAGGCAGGCAGGCAGGCAGGCAGGAAGGAAGGAAGGAAGGAAGGGTAAGTTGATAACATCTCCACTAGGTAGCAAACTTTTCATGACACTGGTACCTATCAGTGGTGTTATGGTCATGATAAGACTTAGTATTTTTATTAATATGAGTTTCTCCCATAAAATTGCTACAATCCAAGAATAATGATAGGCTATATTATTGACTTTTTTTGTTGGTTTTGGGGCTTGAACTTTGGGCCTGGGCACTGTCCCTCAGCTCTTCAGCTCAAGGCTAGTGCTCTATCACTTGAGCCACAGTGCCACTTCCAGTTTTCTAGTAGTTTATTGGAGATAAGAGCCTCACAGACTTTCCTGCCCGGGCTGGCTTTGAACCGTGATCCTCAGATCTCAGCCTCCTGAGTAGCTAAGATTACAGGCATCAGCCACTGACACCGGTCATTATATTATTTACTTTTATAATTCTGATATTTAGAAGGATATCATCAACACATTGTATATTTTTTATTGTTTTATTGTGATTATGATTTGACTACTGTTCTATAGTAATACACACTTGATTTCAGCCACAGACTTCATTTTTGCCTTTTTTCTCCCAAACTACAGCATAACAATAGCTCTTTTTTTAAAATTGGCAGGACAAATTATAGTGTATATATTTATTTCAGAAGCAAGTACAGAAGGAGCAGGTGGCTCACACCTATAATCCTAGCTACTCAAGAGGCTGAGATCTGAGGAAGGCAGTTCAAAGTCAGCCAGGGCAGGAAAGTCCAGGAGACTCATATCTGCAATTAACCAACAGGAAGTGGCATTGTGGCTCTTGTGGTAAAGCACTCCCCTTGAGCTGAAGAGCTGAGGGACAGCGCCCAGGCCCAGAGTTCAGGCCCATGGCCAACTAAATAAAAACAAAAATAAAAAACAGAAGCAAGTACAAAGTAGAACATAATCATTTGATATTTCATAGAGGTCAAATGGGGGGGAGCAGTGGTCTCGAACTCTGTTCCTGAGCATTTTTGCTCAAGAATAGTAATCTATCACTTGAACACAAGTGTTTTTGTTTTGTGTATGTGTGTGATTAATTGGAGATAAGAGTCTCACCCAGATAAGTTTCAGAGATCCTCAGATCTCAGCCTCTTGAGTAGATAGGATTATAAGCATGTGCCAACTGAGCCCAAAAGAGGTCAATGAACTCTAATTACTGTGTTTACATGTAATGATATTCTGTTTTTTAAATTACATTTAAAAATTTTAGGGTGTGGGATTACAAAATTAATTTGAAGACTAAATCTGAAGTCACTTTGGGTCTATACATTCTATGTCCTTAAATCACAGAAAGCAAGTTTGAATATTTCCTACATACTCTTTAGAAACATTGCATGACTCCAAATGCATACTGTCTTTAGTGGTGTTGATACAGTAAAGTTTAGACACACACATTTTAGTAGTGAAATTTCTCCATGGAAATTCACTTCATAAAATCAACACCCTGGAATGACCTACACTTTTCCAAATCCTCTATCCAGATCCTAGCAGCTGAGCTCATTTTGAATGAAACTGCATGAAAAGGATTAGGAAATAAATGTAATTTTAAAAAATGACCAGTCATATGAGGTATAATTTTAAAAGAAGAATTCTTTGTAAGGATTTGTCTTTCATGGTGGATTTTAGTCAATTCAGGTGATTTAGAAAATAAGGAAAGTGTGCTTTCATTTTATTGTCAATAATCTAATGATTTTTTTGTGAATCATTAAACCTTTAATCTTCCAAATTAAAATTTAAATAGGAAGTATGGCAGGAAAGTTTGTGGAGATAAAATAGTTTTGTTTTGATGTTATTTTCAGTCTTTCACACCACAGGATATGGAATGGGTATTCAAAATGTAATAATAATTAGGAAACGTTTTGTCTTAAAGAATTTTGTCTTAAAAATTATTTGGAAAGTTCCATGAACCAAAATTAGAAATAATGGCCACATGTCAGTGGCTCAAGCCTATACTATTAGCTACACAGGAGGCTGAGATCTAAGGATGGAAGACAGCCTGGGCAGAAAAGTCCTCGAGATTCTTATCTCCAACTAAGAACCCAAAACCAGAAGTGTCAGGTGGTAAAGTGCTAGTTTTGAGAAAAACAAAAAAGCAAAAAAGCTCAAGGATAGCAACCCAGGCCTAAATTGCAGTGCACGTGTGTGTGCGCACACACACACACACACACACACACACTAAAGAAAGAAGGGGAGAGTGGGAGAGAGGCAGGCTTGAGAGAAGGGGAGAGAGAGAGGGAGGGAGGGAGGGAGAAGGAGGGAGTGAAAGAGGGAGGGAGGGAGAGCAACATTAAACAGTGTCTAGTTGCAATCTCTTTTCAGTTAGTTTGTCTTAGAACTTTCTGAATTATCTTCCTTTGTCATGATAAAAATACTGACCTACTTGTTGAGTGAAATAAGTTAATATTATTTTAAGGTCTCAAGGACACAAATGGTATATTCTTTTCCCCAAGAAGTTAATAAAATTGTATTTCTTTTTAGTAAAAGAAATGAAAGCAGAATTCTGCCTTAACTTAAATGTAAATGTGGCTTAGGAATTACAGAGTAATACTATTTGGCATTTCTTAAGTTAGTTTGCTTTTTCTACATTGGATAAAAATAAAGGAAAGAAAGCATCTAAAACAGAACCACCCTATTATAACTCAGATTTGCCCATGAAAGAAGAAATTTTCTGGCCTGCCTCTGTGTGTTTTTTCCACTTTCCTAAACCTCCCACACTATAATGACTTATGCATGGAATTCAGAGACTTTATATTTTCTTTTGAGTGCACGCTGAATTCCAACATGGAAAATGTGAACACTGGCCATTTTCAAAGATGGCCACAGACCTCTCAGGGAACCAAATATTATCCAGAAAGATATTTGGTCAGGCAGGGGTACCAACATTCTGGTACATTCCTTAACGTCTCTAATCTTTATAGAGTGAGAATATTTACCTTTCAGGCACGTGTTTAGTCAGAATAGCCTGACATTTTTGGTGAGGACTCAGATTTCTTTTCAATAGACTGAAATGACCTCAGTCTGGTAGAGCAGCTCATCTTGCTTATGGCTGAAATCAACCAGCCAGTTCACATTGTGTTCTGGCATCCCTGGGCAGACTGAAGCCTGAAGGCTCTTTGAGAGGTTCCCTTACAGTCTGGTAATTTGCTTCCATTGTGTAACGACATTTGGTTTAGACAATTTTTATCAGGTTTAATATAACTAATGTCCCATAACTAAAAATTTGAGTAATTCAAGGCAAAGGGAAATTTACCTGGGAAGCATTTACATTCTGACCTTGGCTTTACCATATACTTGATTTTTCTCATCTACTTAAATGTTCATGGGCAAATTGAAGCCAAGTACACAAACGGAAATCTTTTAAAAAAATAATTAAAAATGAAACTTGAGTGTTTAAAGATCAGTCCTATATCTTATCAAGCTTATGTCTTTTTGGGGGGGGTGTACTTGAATTCTTGAATGAGGGATTTAGGATTTATACACACATGTATGTGTGCATATGGATGAAAGTAGACCCTCATAATTCCATGGAGATTATGAACTTTGTAAGCCTAGGCTTCAGAAAAAAAGACTGACTGTGGATACAGACTCACACCTTAGATATATTACTTTAGAGAAATCTTCTAGTTATTTTTCAGTCTTTAGCAATACTAGCATGCTAACTAGTAGAAATAACAGGATGCATGAGCAGGTGATTCCATCCTAATGTATTGCAAATGGAATGTAGGCATTCTTATCCATGAATGGCATGTAAATAGTAACTGAACTCTGATTATTCCTAATTTCTTAGTCACTTCCAGATTAAATACATCCTTCTCATTCTGGATTGATATTACTTCTTTCACACACTAATACACTTACTGTATCTGCAATCCAGGTTTTCCACATACAGTTTTCTCATGCTGCTATTTGAACCAACATTCAGGAGATTTTTGTTAATGATTTGTATTCACAAAAGTAAATCTGGAAAGGGCACAAGCCAGAGCAACAAGTTTCTTCTAGTGATTTGTATTCAGAATTGCAATCCAAATACTTTCTTAATGAAGCTGTTTGGTGTTTATATTATCTATACCTTTAGTCTTTAATGGTCTAATACAAAGTTGTTCTCTATTAGACTGCTAATTTCCTATATTAGACTGTTTCTTAAAATAACAACATTATTAAAGCTATTAAGTAGAAGTTTTCTAAAGTCTTTTCTCTCTGCCTTCATAGTACAGTTTAGATGATCTGTTTTCCAAGATGTAGTTTGATCTTAGAAATATATCCATAATTATATTTTTTAAATCTTTTAATAGGTGGTGAAATGACAAAACTCATTGTTTGTGAATTTGAAATAATTTTTCATCAAGTCCCATCTCCTTTCACCTCATATGGAATGTATCTCTCTGTCTGTTGTTAAACTACAATGACATGTCTGTAGCTATCAGAAAGAGAAGCTGGGAAGAGCATGTGACCCAAGAGTCAGGACAGCCTTTGAATTCTGATGATTATAACACAGCATGTCATCATGGACTTGTAGCCGACAGCTTGCAGGAAAGTATGGAAAAAGATGCAACTCTAAATGTGGACTGCAAAGAGAAGTGTGCTTCACTACCGGATTGCTGTCATGGACCAGAGTTGAGAGATTTTTCTGGGAGGCCAATAAGTCATGTTTCGAAGGAGGTGGATGAAAATGACAATCCTGAAGTTGAAGATGAGTTTCTTTCTCTGGAGGCCAGCACAGAAACACTGGTACATATTTCGGATGAGGATACAGATTCTGATCTGTACCTTACAGGTGATAAAGACATATTAACAACTAAAGAGCATAAAATAATAAGCCAAGATAGTGTCGATGGAGCAGGCTCCTTAAGAAAGACACTGCCTATTATGGAGAGTAAACAAGGCTCTTATAACTCTTGGGGAACAGCTAGGGAATCTGACTTAGCACTGGTGGATGAAAGTGGAGAAAAAAGAAATGTTGATACTGTAAGTAAAAGCCTGGAGCTTTGTAATAATATAAGCATAAATAAAATAAAAGATGCACCCAAAGGTTCTTCACCTGTGAAAGCAAACATACCAGAGAAACAAATGCTTAATTCTGCTGTGATTGCACAGCAACGAAGGAAACCTGATTTCCCTAAGGACGAACATGAAAGAAACAGCTGCCAAAAAGTACAAAATGAGTCCTTAGCCAGCCCTTGTGCAGAGGGTGGCCTGTCGTTATTAAAAGCAGATTGTGGAACCTACCTTCGGCAGCCTCCTTCCCGCCCCCGTGAACTGTCCACTGAAAATGGCCTGGACAAGAGTGGTTTCTCTGAACATCAAAACAAAAGTCCCCCAGAGGTCAGCAAGGAAGATAGCATGCTATGTTTACACTTGAGGAACTCTCTGACCACCCAGGAGCCCACAGAGAGCCAAGTCAGACTACGCAAGAAAAAGGTAAGACACCACTGGCCTGCTTCAGCTGGCTCCACCATTCACAATTCTACTATCCTTACCTTTCATCACTCACAGTATTGTTTGATGAAAAAGATAAGTAGGTACTTCTTTTGTCCTACAATGACACTGCAAAGTTTGAAGGCTATTTGGTGAAAACATCAAAATATAATCATTCTCTCTCACTAGCAACACACTTTCAGGAACATTTGGGGACTTTGTTCCAATGGGATGAGATTTGGCATTGCTTTCTTTACTTGGAGTTTAACAGCCACCAGAAAGCTCATTGTTATATGCTTCAAGGCCTTCTGAAGAGAGATCTCTAATTTTTAGAGAAAAAAATCATGATATTTTAAATTGACTATCCTTTATTTGACCTGTTTTGTTTTCCCTTTAAAATATACATTGTATCATAATAAAAGTGATATAAACCAGGCCCTCATGGCTCAGGCTTATAATCCTAGCTACTTAGGAGGTTGAGATCCGAGGATCACAGTTCAAAACCAGCCCAGGCAGAACAGTCCATGAGACTCTTATCTCCAATGAGCCACCAGAAAACTGAAAGTGAAGTTGTGGCTCAAAGCACTAATCTTGAACAAAAGAGCTCAGGGACAGCAGCCAACCCTTTTGAGTTCAAGCCCCATGATCACCACCACCACCAACAACAATAACAAAAAGGTATTAGTCAAATGTTAAAAGCAACCACCATAAATATTCAAAAGCAACAGTACTTCTTCTCCTTAATTTATGATAGCATTTTAAATGTATCCTGATATATTACCAATCTGTTTCTTTCCACAGTACTTCTTTAATATTTGACAAAATAACTGAAATTAAATTTTTATGCCATTCTCCCTTACTAATTATGGAGTTGCAATGTTCTTGAAAAAAAAAACTTTCCAAATGTGAGGAGCAAACATTGGGACGACACTACTTGGATTGTGATTAACCTATTGAGATCTCAACTGAAATGTTAGAATTTCTCCAAAACTTTTCAAACGATACAGTGATAGACAATACTGATAGAAAGCCAAGCAAAATTTCTTCTGCTAAACAAACCAATGGCAATTGAGATTGAGGAAATCCTACAAGAAACCAGACAATTTGTGCAATAATTAAAACAAACTTTCTTGCCTCTCTGGATATAATCTTAGCCCACAATTGTAATTCTACTAAACAAAACACAATTGTTTTAGTTCTGTTTAACAGGGTTATCTATCTACAATGAAAGAAAAAAGAAAGAAAGAAAACTCTCTTTGTGGTGAAAAAAATATTAGTTTCCTTAAACTATAGCTTTGCTAACTGATCAGTAATGCATCATGAGTTATTTTAAGAGAACTCAAAATCTATTACAAAGATTGGTGTACTCTAGCTATCTAGTAATGACATGTTCTGTGCTTCTGGAAAATGCTCTTCCTGATGTAAGTTGTGTTAAAATGTTGATGCTGTGTGGCAATTGAATGTATAGGTCATCTTTTCAAAACTTTTATGCATCCTATCAAATATATTGGAGAAGGTACAGTAGTGACATGAGAAAGTATCAACTGATCTATGACAGAGCCCCCTTAAAATAAGGCAAATGCTGTCCAACTGCTAACAAAAACATTAAACATTCCTGAAACATATGCTCACCACTTGGACATTTATATCAATACTAAGAATGCTGAGAAGAATTTACTCTCAGACTATGTTACTATAGAATGGTTCCATCCTTAGAGCTGTAATTATATCTCATTTACAAGTTCTAACTTAAATATTCTATTTCAAGCAGTTGATCATTCTAAAGTGTTGTGGCATTGTCTGGTAGAATATTTACTTTGACTCTAAAACCCATTTGGGATGTCATAGAATGAACAGATTAAGTCAAAAGGTTTATATTTATAATATACTCTACAAAGTACAGTTATTGGAGTATTTTTACCTGATTCATTGTCGAATAAGTGCTTAAAGAAACAAACCTTTAAATAGGTGGCTAGCCCTTTTAATACTTTGTCCAGTGATAATAAAAACATTTGTTTAAAGAAAATACAGTGCTAATGGCTAACATCTGTAATTTGAACTACTCAAAAGGCTGAAATCTGAAGAATCACGGTTTCAAACTGTCATGCAGAAAAATACTTGAAACTCCTATCTCAAAAATAATCAGAAAAAAGCTACACTGGAGCATGGCTCAAAAAATAGAACCCTAGCCAAGCAAACAAACTGAACAAGAGCACAAAGCTCTGAGATCAAGTTCTAGTTCTGGGAATAAAAAGACACACATAAACACAGATCATCAAATTGCATGTAACTAAAAAAGAAATAGCCCCGATTTAAATTCATTATGTGTTTAGTTATTTATTTATTGTATGGAAGGCTATGCAGCATATTGAAAGATAATTATCTGGGAAAACCAACATGCACAACATATTCAAGCTTTATATGACATATATATGTATGTACTTAAAATTGATAAAAAAAACCTAAACAGGAGAATATAACAACTCATCTATCTTTCTTTCTTTCTTTCTTTCTTTCTTTCTTTCTTTCTTTCTTTCTTTCTTTCTTTTTTGATCAGTCATGGAGCTGTGCTTGGGCACTATCCCTGTGCTCATCAGCTCAAGGCTAGCACTCTACCACTTGAACCACAGCACCACTTCCGGTTTTCTGGTGGTTAATTGGAGATAAAAGTCTCACAGACTTTTCTGCCCAGGCTGGTTTTGAACCGTGATCCTCAGATCTCAGCCTCCTCAGTAGCTAGGATTACAGGCGTGAACCACCCGCACCCAGCAACAATTCATCTTTCTATATGATGGAGTAATAATATGCAAAATTCTGCCTGAATAACTATAGCACTTCAAATAAGCATAATTAAAACTGTAGAGTGAAGAAAACATTACATTTTATCCTATTTTTTATTAAAGAGAATAAAAAATCACATAATAAAGTATAAAATAATACTAGAAATATAACTACTTGAAATATTTTCTGCATGCAGAAAACAATCCTTTATTATTTGATGAAATTAATACAAATATTTATAAGGCTTCTAAAAGGTCCATAAGAGTTGCAATCAGCTACTTGATTTCTAATGTCAGAAAAACTGATTTAAAAGAGGGACACGGGAGCACGTTTTCATGCCTACTGGGCATGAGGTAACAGATGCTGAAAATGTTTGCTTAATTGTGTCTTTAAACCATGTGTTGGCCATGGTGACAGCTCTGAGCTGAAAGCTTGGAAAGGTAAAATAGAATATAAGCTACCATGGTTTTAGTTAAAGATTAGCCAGGTCTTCCACTGATGGTCATGTTGCTGACCCAAATTCTTCACTGCATTTCTGAGTATGAGATTCTTTTGTCAGGATATAATCAAGGATCGGAGATTTAAAGAAAAAAAAATAATAAAACTAACATAAAGCTTCTCAGAATCATCTCCAGGTCTGCCAGAAATAGTGCCTGTAGTCCAAGCAGTTGAAAAGTAGAAGCAGGAAAAGGGTGAGTGGGCCAGCATGGGGTTACATAGCAAGAAGATCTTGCCTCAGAGGACAGTGGGAAAAAATTGATACTCAGAATGTATTGAAGAAGATATTGAAAGATTGAATGCTATCTAGAGAGGTATCATTGAATTTTAGATACATCTTACCTTTCCTTAAAACCCCATACATTTAAACATACATTCATTGCTAGAAATGACTTATTATTATCTTGGTATCTAAAATATTTCTAACAATCCAGCACAGCTATCCATGCAGTTTTTAGAAGTCTCAGTTGGAGAGGACTATGTCTTTAGTATAGCTTAGCCTTGACATTTTGAACTAATAATTCCTTTAAATGTGATTAAACAGGTCATGAAATTGAAGTCACTAGAATCAAAGTAAACCAAATGAATCACAAGAAGTCATTAGTGAATGAACTATCAGGTCATGAACTGTCAGCTCATGTCACTCTAAACCATATGGGAATGATGAGCACACTCTTAGGGCTTTGGCTGTGTCCCGGGGTTAAGACAGCTGGTTAAAAGCAATTCTCCCAGAAAGATTCCAAAAGAGTCTGGAGGAGGGAGACAGTCTAAGAAGTGGTCTCTTTAAACCAAAAGAGATGTCAAGATGGAAAATATGTAGGGACAGACTTGAGGTTAGGCTTTTTGAAAGAGCTAGTGTATTTGTCATTGATGGTGGTTTGCTAATTAAAGAGAGACTAAAATTCAATCTTCTGGAAAGAATATTTCTTTAAATATTCTCCAAATTTTTAAATAACCACAATAATTATAAATATAGACATACATTTTTGCAGACATAAAACCAGAAATAAATCATATTACAAAGCCAAATAAACGCACAAAGATATTTCAAAAATAACGTGAACTTTGAGAAGACACCTAATTCCATATCCTTTTTCTCCCTTTTCCTCCTCCAACATCCCTCCTCCCTCCTCCCATCTCCCGCTTGCCTTTTTTTTCCTCTTCCTTCTTCTGGAACTGGTGTTTGAACTCATAAACTGCTCTTGCCACATAGGCATTCTACCACTTGAGCCACACCTCCAGCCATTTTTATTTTAGTTATTTTTCCAATTCATCTCACATTTTTGGCCAGGCTAGCCTGAACCATAATAGCCTGAACTGGAATCCTCACAATCTCATACTCCCAGGTAGCTGGAATTATAGACATGAGCTACCACCCTGATCCCTAGAAAATTATTGTGCATATTGAAGTAACATTGACCAAATTTCTTACAGAAAAATATCCAGAAGCAAAACATTACACTATATATACTGTGCTTAAAATATCTGGAAGATGTAATATATGAATTAACTAAGAACAACAACAATCAAATGTTTTCTTCTTATCCTAGAGTTGGTAAAAGCATGTCCACCCACAAATGACACTCTCTTGTTTCCTGTATGTCTACCTACATATGAACCTTGTACCAAGAGAAAGGTAACACTTTACATTAGGTAAAGTAGTAAATTATGCAAAAATTGGAATAGACCAAAGCAGGAGAGGGCTTCAATACAAAAGAAATAAA